GGGACTTTCCAGAAATGGGCCCCTGGTCTGGAATGGGGTGTTTTTACTCAATACTTTTCTTGTAACAGGGAAAAATAGTTTGAATGCCTATAAAAACTTTCCAATGTTAATTTTATTAGCAACAACATAAATAACTAGTCCCAAGAATGGGTATTGAAAATTGGCTATTTCTGTTGCAAAATATTGTTAGAATGAGGTCAAACTTTACAGGTCAGCCAATTAATTTTCAATATAATACTTAAAAAAACTGGATAAAACAGTAGACCAGCTGGAATAGGGGCCCAACTTCAGCTGGTGAGTCAGGTGTTTATTGCATGTAATACAGTGGAAGCTTTCGTAAGCGCGGAGACCATCGGGACACAAAAAAGTTCTCTGTAACTGGGGCTAGCCGCTTACGGTAATGTAAAAATACAAAGTTTGTTTGGGAGTTGAGAAAAACGGTGTTTTGTGAAGGTGGCCATAAGTAGAGCTTTCCACTTACGAGAGTGTCTGTTAGGAAAGCCTCCACTGTATTTAACAATTAGATTACCCATATTGTTTTTGTTTTTTGTTTTTTATTGTACACTTCAATTTAAATTTTAATATGATTTCAATATGTGCAGAGCACTACGAGTAATGAACTTTCAGCCCAGCAGATGCCCCTGCAGACAGCATCTCATCAACCATTGCAAGCATTAATACAGCCTACCTTACCAGTTCTGCAGTATCCCCATTCAGTGCTACAACCTCCCCAGACTGGGTTGCAGCCCTCTCAAGCAGTACCCCAATCTCAGCCTGTTCAAGTTGTTGCCCATCCTGGTGACGGCAGCACTCCAATCCCAACTTTTGTCCAATATACCATGCCTCCAAATATCTTTACTTCACCAGTGATGAACTCTACAAATCAGCCTCTTGTTCAATCAGCTGTTCCAACATCTTTGTCAGTGCTAAATGCCCTTAATGATGACAAACTAGGGATTATCTTACCTGTATTGGTCAGGATGGAACACAAAATTGATCAGCTTATGGCAATGATGGGGGCCAACAATCAGGCAACTGGAAATAACTTAAATGCTGCCGTGTCATCTGGAGGACAGAATAATGTAAGTGGACAGCTGAATAATGCATCAAGTACATCTCAGTCTAATGCTGCTAAAACCCAGACAAGCAGTTCATCTACAGGAGCTAATATCCAAGCAAATGCAAGGGCAACAGTGGCACGGCTGTTTGATACCCAAGGAGAAGGTGAGGAAGAATCTGAACAGACTGCCACTGATAAAGGAGTTAATGAATCAGTAGCAATTCGTGGAATGACTTCGCGACAGCGCATCCAACTTGAAATGGCCAAGATAACAGAAAAGACCTTGCCTGAAGATTTAAACTTTCCCTTATCACGTGATGACCTCATTGCCTTGCAAGCAAAATCTACTTCGACAATGAATTTTGCTGTGCGACTGTTACGTGAAATGTTCACACGAGAAGAACTTCTGGGCAGAAATCTTTCAGGTGTGCGTGGGAAAGAGAGAGTTGATCCTGCCAGAGTAGAAATCATCAAGGAAATTGTGTTTAAAATTTATCGCACATCACCTTCAGATAGGGAACTATTGTGGAGATACTGCCGTAAAGCAATGGATTCCTTTTTGAGAAAAATGCAACAGCCAGTTGAAGTTGTAAAGGATCAGTATGATTCTCCTTCCTTTTTAGTAACAGATAAAACCTTGAGTGGGCCATCTAATGTAACTCCTGAACCTGAGGAAAATGAAGAAACATCACCCTGATCATCTTTTTTTCTGGAATTTTTCTTGAAGGAAATGGTTGTTTGAATGGTTTTGTGGAAAAATTGTCATGCACTTGAACAGTTCAGTACAGTTGAGAACGATTATTACGTGGTAAACAAAACTTTTTTTTATTTTGCACTTTCTAATTTTCAGTTTTTTAATGGTTTTAATGTTAATGTTACTCAAAGAAATGGAATTAGCCAATCATTCTTTAATATTTTTGTGTTTCTTGTATGAAAGTACTATAAAGTAAAGTTCCTGCATGATTAATGCCCAAGTGGAGGTATGATGTCATGTATCAAACTAGTCTTACACGGCTGACAATAATTATAATCAAAGTTAATTTTGTAGATTACAGAATTACCAGTATTTATACTACTACAGGAGAAATTTCTGCAATTTGATTGGCTTAAAGCAGTGGTCTTTCAGCTTAATTGGAAATAACCACATGTGAAAATTACAAACCTTTGGTGGGTAGTAGTATAAACAAATATTAGTATGATTAATTGTACTAGATATTTGGCATAAATACCACTTGTCATATTTCAAAATTGTCTCAAATTTCACTCGCCTAACGGCTTGTGGAATTGCGTATAACAATTTCAAAATATCACTTGTGGTATTTATGCCAAATATCACTACAAATCATGCTATTACCTATACTAATTTAAATGGTTCTACTTTTGTACAGTATTCAATTTGTAGCGTTCCAAAAGATATGTGGGCAAGACGTTAGCCTCAAATAAAATTAAACAATCTGGTACGCTGCCTGCATTTGACAATTGAATTCATGTGCAGTATTAAAATAACATACACGGTTGAAGGGAAGAGTGGTATAAGGCCCCAGGGTGTCTGCTGATCACCCTGGGTACTTATTCCACACTTTTGATTTAATTCAAAAACACATACAAGCAAACTTGAGGGCAGTCACCTTGGCAACAGCTTGGGCCAGAGTCACGCAATGCTCCCCACCCCTGCATGGAGAGTGTTGCATGACTCTGGCCTGACCAGCTGCGAAGGTGACTAGCTGAAAGGAGAATATAATTTTTTTTTTAGAATTCACTTGAGGCTTTTTCCTAGTCACCTCGTTAAATTGTAAAATGATTATCCTTTCATGTTCATAGCTAAGGAATGGATAAGAACAGAAAAGATGAACATTAATGGAGATTCCTTTAAATAGCCAGAAAAAATTAGAATGATATTCCAGTGAGTGAGATACAGGGCCGATTTGCAAGGAGGGGATATAAAAGGTATTTTCCTCTTGAAAGGAAACGCTTTTCTTGGTTTTCATGTCACCTCAGCGAGCAGCTTTTTTCCCCTGCGCTCTCCATTTCGCGCCACTCTCCACAAAAAAAGTTCATGAAAAAAGTCTCTTCTCTTAAAAACAGGGCAGTGAAATGAGCAATTTTGCCTTGAACGGAACAGGGTCATGGTTTGAAGGTCTCTGCGGCACACCTCTACCCAAGCTTCCCCTTTGAGCCCCTTTCCCCTCCCCACCTCGGGAGCGGACACTTCGAGGTTTCGCCAATACTGCCCTCTTCTGGGATGACAAATCAGCCTAATTAATAGAGAATACAGTATCCTTAATCAAACAAATTTTCCTATTTGGACTGGCTATCGATTGGACCCTCAAGCCGTTCCAAGGCACGTGCGTTTTACGGAAGTGAGCCGCGAAAGAACCCAGCTTGGTAAGAGAATTTGCAGTATACCGTATATGGACGTTTGAACGCGTTTGATTTAGCGAAATAGTAGCCCGCGTGGCAGAAGCCCTTCTATCTCCCTTTTCAGCTCCCTTCCTTTGCCGTTTCCACGCATGCTACGAAGAATGGCGAATTGGCGTTGGACCTAGAAAATATCTTCTCTCTCTCACCGTTTAAAAGGAGAGAAAGAGAACGCACGAGGACGTGGAAAATTTCCCGCCAGCTGTATGACGAAATGCAGGCGTGGTCTCGTCTGAAGAGGCGGTTTTCTGTGCCCTTTGGCGTGTTTTGTTGGGCTTTGCTGCTATAGCTAGTTGATGAGAGAAACGAAGGGTCATTTGTGCTGAACTCAACGAACCAGTTTCATATTCTAATGTGCAGTCTAGTGGTCGTTGAGATAATAAACAGGAAGAACCCTTGTAAAGGTATCTTGTCAAAGTAATGACTCGGACCAATCCGTTTTTCTTTTTTCTTTTTTCTTTTTGATTTGAAACCTATAATTTGAAACTGGAATATTTAGGATGGCTGCTCTTTAATTAAGCTGGAATCTAAAGAAGTTCCAATTTTGGGTGTATGTGTTTCACTAGGTATAGACTTAAATATGAAATAGAGAATTGAGAGGAGTAACATTTTCTCCCATATACGCACGTGCGCCCGTGCGTACAGCTGAAATCTGGAATATATATATTCTTTATTTTTTGAAAACATTCTTATCATTAAATCACGATTATTGAAAAATCTTTCGCATTATATTGGTGTCTTTACCCGTCTGAAGGGTAGACGTCTCACCCTTTGCTTGCATTAAACCTTCTTGATTACCCCCGTAAACATTACACCTTACAGATGTATATTAAACAACTAACTATTGCATTTCCCTTCGTATTAAATTACTGAAAATGTCCTGCGGAAAATGCAGTAAATGGTATTTCAGATCCCCTATTAAAATTTGAAAAATTTTCTAGGGGAACATGCCCCCCCCCGCCCCTCTTTCCGTACGCACACACATACATCTTCAAAATTTTGCCTTGTTTTTGACATCGTTTACCAGAATAAATTAGTGCGTTTTCAACGAATACGGGTCGGTGTGAGTTACAGTTTATAATAAAGAGTTTTTGACCCTCGTCCCTGAAAAACACAAAGTTTGGTGAGCCTGTTTTGAAATGCAAATGCCAAAAAAAGCCGAATACACACGGTGTTAGGTGATTGGCTGTTTAGAAATGAGCGTCAATGAGCGTCACATCGCTGGTGTCAGCTTACACGAACGAAACTCGAACGCGTTCTTTCACCTGCAACAATAGCTCAAACGCTGTAACTTCATTTTGTCGTAGTATGTCGGATTCAGGCGTCGAGCAAGAAATCAGATCTGACGCAACGGTGAGTCTAAGGTTTTAATCGGCNAAACACAAAGTTTGGTGAGCCTGTTTTGAAATGCAAATGCCAAAAAAAGCCGAATACACACGGTGTTAGGTGATTGGCTGTTTAGAAATGAGCGTCAATGAGCGTCACATCGCTGGTGTCAGCTTACACGAACGAAACTCGAACGCGTTCTTTCACCTGCAACAATAGCTCAAACGCTGTAACTTCATTTTGTCGTAGTATGTCGGATTCAGGCGTCGAGCAAGAAATCAGATCTGACGCAACGGTGAGTCTAAGGTTTTAATCGGCGATTTAATAAGAAAAATCGCCTAGCTTTCGTTGAAATGTATTGTGGAAATGTGTTCTGTACAGCACTGCGGAGAAAGACAGCTGAACGCGTTCGCTGGCCGCAGCATGCATCTGACACCAGACATCTTACAGATATTCCGTTCGTTCGTTAGGTTGATCCTAAGAAGAAAGGAAAACCGAGGAAAGGGAGGCCAAGGAAAGCACTCGTACAGGTTTGCCTTCTTTACCACCTTCACCGTTCGGTAGCTATTTTGTGTTGTTTTGCTTTCAATCGCGATTCGCCGTCGCGTTGAAAATGTAAAACGGTGCATTTTAGTATTAAAACTGGGTGACTTTGATGTGTATTTTTCCAGTTACACTAGCACGGGCGGCTCAGTTAGTATTTTTGTTTTCTGTATGATTGTTAGCAATCGGATGATGTAATTTAGCACATGTATACACATGGTTTCGGTTTCAACTAATAAACGCAAACCGCCTTTCCCGTTACTTAATTTAAAGGCTATAACATCTTCAGAGAATTACGCTCAATAAAATCATTTGTTGTTTGCATAGAAGAATTTAAAAGTGGTAAAAAGGAGTAGTGACGGCCTTAAATTAAACGAGCTGTTTGTTAGCTACGGAATATTATTATAAATTCAAGTGACTTGGTATAATGTTTTTAGACAACTTCAGAGCACAGTTTAATGAGGCCCTCCCAGGGGGGGGCCCATGTTGCCCCTCTGAATTTTAAAACGTCACGTGTCGGTGTTTATAAATGCTTGTCGCTTATTTGTCGTCTTTGCCGTCACTGTCGCAATTTGGCCAAGGGAGGTTGTCTCTTGTTGCCATTTCATTTTACGCGCTGACGCGCTGTCGCTACTTTTTGGGCCATGTTGCTTGTCAGAATGTTTTTTTTGGGGGAATAATTTGACTAGTAGGGTCACCTCATTTACATATGCTTACTTACCAGTCAATAATACCTACTGATTTCCTCGTAACTGCATAAGTTGATCTAGTCAGAGTTTTGTACCTGTTGAATATTTTTAAACACAGTCGAGGAGTCGATTAGTACTATTTTTTATGCCAATCGGTTCCTGACAGTTAAACCTCCCTACTAATAAATAAAGACAAAGCACAAATATTGATGCTCAGCAAAGTGTCTGTACATAGGATGTGCTGTTTCAAAGAGGGTGCATGACCCCATGACCAGGTTTATGTTAAAGCTCAGAACTGTTGGATTTCCATAATTTGGAAAATAATGCTGCATAAAAGTTATGTAGTGTTATTTTCTTACCATATACCAGACGTACGGTAACTTATAGTTGTTGATGACATCAATGAAATCAATGAGTAATCAATAGATAATTGATGGGTAATTAGTTGATTATTACGCATTGATTATATCCGTTATTCAATGAGTCATCGACGGATAATCGATAGGCCACAACATTTTCATTCATTGATTCAGTCATTGATTGATTTTTTATTTATCGATTTAATCTCTTGGGTACGCATTTAAAGCCACACCAAATCGAAGATAAAGAAACAGACTTCTTTTACATAAATATCATGATACAAGCTTTATTTATTCATGATCTTTTACCCGGTAGACACTCTGCACTAGTGGGGTGCAGTTCTCAACAAAGACACAGACTCTCATAGCCAAGGGAGTAAGATAGATAACTCAACCTTCAGAACATTTCATTTTTGATGTTTCAGTTACTGTCAATCCATTAAATAAATTTGATTTGCAGTTCTGTTTTCGTCGTGATCTATATACATTGGTTTTCTTCATGCAAGTTCAATTCCTATTTGGCAATTATATTATGGTCAAGAACCATTTAACGTAAATTTTTATTGCATAAGTGACTTGGTATAATGATTTTAGACAACTTCAGAGCACAGTTTAATGAGGCCCTGCCAGGGGGGGGGGGGGTCCCATGTCGCTCGTCTGAATTTTTAAACGTCTCGTGTCGGTGGTTATAAATGCTTGTCGCTTATTTGTCGTCTTTGCCGTCACTGTCGCGATTTGGCCAAGGGAGGTTGTCTCTTGTCACGATTTCATGTTACGTGCTGTCGCTACTTTTTGGGCCATGTTGCTTGTCGGAATGTTTTTTTTATGGGAATAATTTGACTAGTAGGGTCACTTCATTTACATATGCTTACTTACCAGTCAATAATACCTACTAATTTCCTCGTAATTGCATAAGTTGATCTAGTCAGAGTTTTTTACCTGCTAAATATTTTTATATGCAGTCGAGGAGCCAATTAGTACCATAACTTATTGATGACATCAATGAAATCAATGAGTAATCAATAGGTAATTGATGGGTAATTAGTTGATTATTAGCCATTGATTACATCCGTTATTCAATGAGTCATTGACAGATAATCGACAGGCCACAACATTTTCATTCATCGATTCAGTCATTGATTGATTTTTTATTTATCGATTTAATCTCTTGGGTACGCATTTAAAACCACACCAAGTCGAAAATAAAGAAACAGACTTCTTTGACATAAATATCATGATACAAGCTTTATTCATTCATGATCTTTTACCCGGTAGACACTCTGCGGTGGGTGCAGTTCTCAACAAAGACACAGACTCTAATAGCCAAGGGAGTAAGACAGATAACTCAACCTTCTGAACATTTCATTTTTGATGTTTCAGTTACTGTCCATTAAATAGCCTTCCCTCAATTAATCTCCTCTCTTGAATAGTTGCCCGCCTTTAACAGAAATATTTAGAATAATCACATTTCTCAAGTAATCGCCCTCACCCACCCCTATAATCGCCATCTTCTGGAATCTGATCCTACAAAACTGATTGGTGAATCAAGTTCTGATGACAAGGATATTGACATTGAAAATTGATCAAGGAACCAAATTTGGAACACTTTAAAAGCCCATTTCAAGGTCATGTTCAGTTTATTTGATGTGATTATTTTTTGATTTAACAGGAAAATAATACAAAACATTTTGGACATGGCTTCCAGAGAGCAATATTTGAAATAATTGCCTCCCTCAAATAATCGCCTCTATATTAATTTAGCCTTAACTACAAGCATCCACTGTGGGAGAACTTCCTGTAATGGCCTATACCGGGAGAAACAGCCTAAAAATGGCATGTATTTTAGGTTTTGGGTATAAAAGAATATGGGTATGGGGAAATCTGTCATCTAGGTAAATGGCCTTTATAATGACAAGATATTTTGAGCCTTTGGTTCCTTACAGTTGTATATAGCTGTAACATTTTTAGTTTGATACTCTCCTATAGTATTATTCATTAATGAGCTTTATATTCCAAGGGTTTAGAAAAGGGATGCAGTGTTCTTAACAAGTAGTTAAAAATAATAAATAAAAATACAGATACAAAAAGGAATCAAGAAATAGATAAATAATAAGGATTTGGAGGTAGTACTTCTGCATACTGGTTCCTCATCTGCTATTCCTGATCAATTTGGAGTTTTGAATATTTTAGACTTCGAGAAGAAGGGAAAACTGGACTACGAGGAGAAAAATGTCTTGCAGTGGAAAGGAAACCAACAACAAAATCAACCCACAAATAAAGCACTGCCCTGGCACCCTTTCTCTTCAAGGGAGAAATGGGTACCATTTTTCAGTGGAAGGTGTTTGAAAGGGCATTATCTCTATTACAGTTTGGTACTATTATTGTCTTTTGCTTGGTAAACACCCTCACAACCATATTTATAAAGTGTAGTCACTCTCTTTTAAAAACATAATATATCTGAAGAAAAGCAGGATACTTGGTGTATAAACAAGGTCAAACGCACTGCATTTTCTCAAAGGCTAGCTAGGGTACTATCCTGTATATAAATTATGTAGGTGAACTGGTGCAACTGTAAAATGGTTGCACCATGTGGTGAGCAAAGGATAGACATTCACTCCATGCATAATGTGATCACAATATTTAACAATTATTTCCTGAGCCTGAATGGGCTCTGAGTCAATAGCCCATGAGGCTGAAGGCCAAATGGGCTATTGACTCAGAGGCCATGGGGGCAAGAGGAATAATAAATTGTTTTAGTAAAATCCAACTAGTTGGTCAAAAATATTGAGAATAAAAAATTTTTTAGCTACTTAAAGCTAGACTTTAATCCTTTTTTGCTGCCAAAAAGCCCGCGCTTTTCGCTACTAGTGGGCTATAAAATATAGCCTAGTAGTAGCTCAACCAATCAGAACACAGCATTGATAATAGACCACTAGTTGGATTTTACTAAAATTAATTTTATTATTTCTTAGGCAAGTGACCTACCTACCACTCAGCAGTTAATGCCCCCCACAGCTGTACAGGCACCTTCACAGACAGTACCTCAAGGGGCACAGACAGTGGTGCAACCTTTACAAACCTTGTACCAGCCTCTTCAGGCAGTGCTTCATCCTCAGCAAACAATTCTTCCTCCTCCACAACCAATGCCCCAGCCACCACAAACTGTACCCCAGCCCCCACATGCACTTCAGCCACAGCAGGCTCCACAGGTGCTACTGCAGCCACCTCAAACAGTTCTTCAGCCTCCCCCAGCTATACTTCAGCCTCCACAGGCAGTACTTCAGCACCCATCGGTACTCGTCCCTCAACCACCCAAGCCTGGTTTAAGTGAGAACAACCCGCCACCTTCTTCATTTGTCCAATTTTCTACATTTCCAAACACCTTTTCATCTCCAGTGTTGAACAGTGCCCTACAAGCACCCATTCAGCAGGCCGTTTCGACTTCCATGGCAAATACTAATTCCCAGACATCCACCATGAGCTTGCTTAATGCTCTGCATGATGAAAAGTTAGGTTTGCTCTTGCCTGTAATTGTGAGAATGGAACACAAAATGGATCAACTCATGGCTATGATGGGTCAAATGGGAAGCCAACTAAATTCCATTATCATGGGAAACCAATCAAATGTTTCGTTGACTGGACGACATGCAAATACGGGGATTATAGGAAGCCAATCAAATGCTCCAGTCATGGGAAACCAGTCAAATGCCGCTACGGTAGGAAAACAATCAAATGCGGTAGTGATGGGAAAACAATCAAATGCTGAAGTGGTGAGGAACCAATCAAATCTCGCCATAACAGGGAGCCAATCAGATGGGACTACAACCGGGAACCAACCAAATACTGCTATGGTTGGTAGCCAATCAAATGCCACAGTAACGGGAACTCAAAATAGTACTGCATTGAATATTAATGACCCAGTGAACAGTCATTTAGGGTCAAATAATAATGTGGACCTGACTCCATCAAATGCACGACAGGCTAACTCCGTAACTATCGAGGCGCAGGAAATTTACACAATGGACAGACCTCAATCAAATGTTCCTAGCAACGAAACATCGAGCGTCTTAAATGAATCGCCTACCCACATACAGACCAGAAGTCAACGAAACAAAGACAAAACGGGTAGTTCAAATTTACCAGCCTTTTACATGTCAAAGGAATATCTCACGGCTTTGAAAACAAAATCCACCTCCGCTAAGAATTTCGCCGTGCGGCTAATGCGAGAGCTGTTTACGAAGGTGGAACTTGAGGGAAAGAATATTTCAGGATCCCGAGGGAAAGATCAAGTAGATCCCGAAAGAATAAAAACGATTAAAGAACTTGTCTTTAAGATGTACAACACGTTACCCGAGGACATGGATTTAGAATGGAGAAATTGTCGGAAAGCTATGGACTCGTTTTTGCGCTCCAAGAAGCATAGAGAACTTGGAGAACAGCGCGCGCAACAAAATGCTGAATTGTTGAACTCGTTGTCAATGGGTACTCTTAACAGCGAGCAGACTGACGAGTAATGGGTATTGTTATTTTTTACCAACCCTTTTTGTCCCTAATACTGATTATGCGTCTTGTTTCTCCTTTATATAATGCCATTGCTCAATTATGCCAAAAGGTTATGAGAAGATAAAAATCGCCAAAGAAGAAGTATTTTAGTTTTTGGCAAAATCTTTTCGTCAATACCACAAGAAATGTTCAGAGAACAGTTTGATTATGTATGCTTGCATTAGGGTTTAATTAAAGGGTTGTTAATCCTCTAATGAACGCAGCCATACCGTTTCACTAAGTTAAAAAAAATATCCGCGATACTTCTTTTTCCCGTATTTTAGGTGAGCTGCTTGTATCAAGTTGTCCGCTTCATACAGGTTCGTTTTCCACCAAGAAAATATGGGAATAAATATCTACGTCCGTTTCCGCGTAATATAGGTTTACTGCACCCTCTTTAGCTGGGCGTGCCTGGCGCTACAGGGGAAAGGGAAAATCGAGCTCGTGAAAACGCTTTCCACGCACGCTGCTTTGAGGGGCCTGATTACATGAGCCGTGTTATCCCTGTTTTCCGAGCTGGTTCAATTTACCGAGGGAACATTTATCCCGGTATTAAGCCATCTCAATACCGGGATCCCATCGAACCTGGCTGGCTTGGCTTTCGTACTTTTTGTTGCGTTTAATTAACATGTCACTATTTTGAAAAAAGCCAGTCCGGCAAAACGGGTTTGACGTAACTGACTCTATTACAGTCTCCTGTCGCCTTCTTTCGCACATCCCAATAATATGGACAGAAGCAAGAGATCGTAATAGAACATGATCTCTTGACAGAGACTAATTCCCCGACAAAATAAATTGCTGACTTTTGACCGAAGTAAATTTTCGCTGTTACAGATCAGACTCTCGCTATCTAGGACGCTAACTCGAGGCTCCGAGGGTGTCCATAATATACGGAGGGTTCCTAACTTTACTACGCCTATTTGAAGTCCTTTAGAATATAAAATTTTCACAGTGAAACCTGTATTAAGAGCGCATCATATTAAGTCGACACAAACGGCGCTGAGTCATAAACGAGGCTTCCAATATTTTCTGGAAGACGACCTTTATTTCGCGTATGCCAAGCATGGCTAGCGTGGGTATCTGCTTAAAAAAGCTTCTTCTGTAAGAACATCATAAGCATTTTTTTACTCCACGAAAAGGAGCATTCAGTTTTGCGTATTGATTACGAGTTTAATTTTTGAAACCTTCTTCGTGGTTTGTTACGTTAATCTTATCCAAAAATCTCTTTAATACTAGCTGGTCAGGGAGAGTCAAATGTTGTAACCCACTTAATCTTATACTAGTTGTCGCTGTTGTGTAAGGGTTCATGACACAACCTTCGTTTTATTTTTAGCCTCATTGCACTCTTTCATATAATAATGAACTTGTTCAGTTGGTTCATTCATTGCAAATTTTTATTGTAACTCAAATCTGGAATAGCTTCAATAAAAATATTCGTTGTTTCCCATTTGTCTGGCTAGCCATCTTTAAGAATTGACTTGGAAGTGGAGAAAGCTTTGCTGTGTGTTATAGTCCCACAAAGAAAAGAATGTGATCTAAAATCTTTTTCTTCTACCTTGGCCTAACAATTTCCCCCGGTTTGGAAAATATCCTAATATTGTTTCTTGCCCAAAACACGTCATCAAAGAAACTACATTTGGCTCAGATCTTCAGTAAACTGAGTCCTTAGACTTAGATGTAAGATCACATCCGTCTGGCAGAGAATCGAAGAACTCAAATTCCCGCTAAAATTCGCTCCCTTTGCAGCGAACCCACTCCAATTTGAACATTTTGGCTTTATTACCATCTTGGCCAGACTGGAAAATTGTCAGTACCAGTACACGAACTGATTTTATGACGTTACGCTTATTTTTTCCAAATTTCTTCGTCTCGTTCTCCAAACATCTTCGATAAACAAACAAACAAACCAACAAAAAAATAATTCTTGTTTTTTTTTCCTTATGAAACAACAACAGCAACTCTGCCACTTGGCTGTAGCGTGATGCACCTGCAAAGTTGTTTGGTTCCTTTTTTTCTCAGTTTGTGATGACGGTACCCGCAGAAAGACCCCAAAGTTGTGTTGCTTGCCGTCGCAAGCTCCATACAGTCAACTCTCTTTTAACGGACACCTAGAGTTGGTCCTTTTATTTGACACTCTCTAAGACGGACATCATTGCCCGTCCCATGGTTGTCTGTCTTACAGAGAGTTGATCTGTAAATCCAATCGCAGAGGCGTAACCAGGATTTTTCAAAGGGGGGTCACAGCAGGGACACCATCCGGGGATCGCCGACTATATATGGTTTATACCGCTGTTCTCCCTCGTGCATCAGCGGGCTCAGTCGTATTATCGCGGCATGAAGGCCCATATTAACTAAAGACAAGAGCCGTTGACGAAAATACTTTGCAAAAAAACAAATTTTAAAAAAGTGGGCCTTTTAACAATGGCTTTTACGGCCAAGATATTGTCATGGCGTTTTCGCCACCTGAATATTGTAGATGAAGGCCTGCGGTTGGTGGTGGGGGGAGGGGGGTCAAGGGCACCCCAGGACCCCCCCCCCCCCCGATCAGCCCCCCGATTCGGGGGGGAAGCGGCGCAAACGGGGGGGGGCGCAGAATTTTTTTTGGAAAACGCTTTGTTTTTATTTTTGTTTTTTTTTTTTTCTGACCGGGGTCTAAAGAACCGGGCGTGGTTTTGTTGTCTGTCT